AATTTTGCTCTTTGCTTTTTTTTTGGTAGTGGTTAAAACTTTTCTTTTTGCGTTAAGCCCAAAATTAAGGCGAGCAGATTTTGCCTTAACTTCATCCCATTTGTGTTTGGTTATTAAGTGTCGTTTTAAGTGGAATATAAATCTTTAAAAAAAAAAAAAAAAACCTAATGAATCTGTTAAAAATTATATCAATAAAAAAATTTACATAAAAAATTTTAATTTTGAAACTTACTTTCCACAAACAGGGCACTTTACTTTATTCCTCGACTTTACAACTTTTTTAAACAAAGGCACAACTGAAGAACAAGTCGGTAAATTTTTTTTATTTCTTTAAAATCAATTTTATTTTAAACACAATATTAAAAAAGGGAAATTAAGGCTAACCTTGGTTGTATCAATAACGGTACCCTTGTCAATTCCAATTGCTGGTTGATTTGTTATACTACATAATAAGGGAGATAATTAAAATGATTAAGAAAGAGAATAAGGGCAGATGCATTATTTATGTATTGTTCCTATATTTGCATAAAAATCAAAAATACCTTTCTGTTTCAACATTAACACTATTGAGTGAACTCTCAACCAAATCATTAGAAACCTATACAGAAAATATTTTGCAAAAATTATCCAAAAAATGTAAACTATATATATATATATATATATATATATATATATATATATATATATATATATATATATATATATATATATATATATACACATATGATAATGAAGAAAAAACAACTTTTTCTACTGTACTTTAAGTTTAATGCCTAAATGGCAATCATTAGCCATTGATTACTTATTAAAAACATGGAATGGTATTCAATGATATATTTATATACTACCTTTTTTAAGTGTAATTACATAATTGAGAATAAAATGAATGCATACCTTTTCTTTTTCCAATGTAATATTTGTTTCTAAAGTAAAATAATAATATTTATACTATTATTAAAAAAGGATAATAATAGTTTACAATAATAATTTTTTATTACAAATATTATTAAGTCTTCTTTAACTGATTACCAAAACCTTAAATTAACTTTGAGAAAGCTTTATAAGGTTTTGTAAAAATATCTTCATAACTTGACAAACAATATAATTTATTACCCAAAATAAAATCATTATCTTCATCTGAGATTTTATTTAACAGTTCATTGTTCCTGAAATAAGGACAACAATATTTATAGCGAAATAAATTAAAATAAATAAATAAAGTAATCAAAATACACATAAAAAACTAAAAAATTTATTTTTATTCTAAATATCAACTATCTTTAGCCCTAAACCAATTTGTGCGCTTAGAAGGTTGAACAGCATTGCAGTACAAATTCTGCCTGTTCTAATTCACCTAATTTGTGCAATACTAGCAAAAATAAAATAAAAATACAAAATTGTAAAATAAAACTTTAAGGTCAAAAATGCTAAAATGTTAAAACAAATATAAACTTAAATGTTTATACAAATAAAATGAAAAATTACAACAGCCGTGGCACAAGTAGCGCACTTGTCTCAGAGACTTAAGATCCGTGGTTCAAACCCCACCTCTGGGCAAGTTTTGCAACATTGGTTGGGAAAGAGGCGTGAACTTCCTATTAAATGCTTTTCCGCAGTGCTCTGTGATAAGACTGTAAGGACTTCTTTGGGCATCTAAATCTTAAAAAAAAAAAAAATGCATACCTTTGCAAAGAATATGAACTTAACAATACTTCAGCCTATAACAAAATAGATTCATAAATGTATAATAAATTTTATATGTTTACATGTTATTGATTTAGTTTGCTACTTAAATCAACTAAGTAGGGGTTGGGCAGGTTTTGCTTACGTAAATCAACTAATTAGTGGTTGGGCAGGAATTTGTAAATTAGCAAGTTTATATTAAAACGAGCAATAATTTATATTAAATTGCAAACCAAAATATTAATATTAAAAATCATATAAGAACACATTAACAAACAACTGTTAACAAAAAAAAATTTTAAATTGCAAATGAGAATATATAAAATAAATATTTTACAATTTATTTAAAAACATACTTTGATTCTTGAAATTCTTTGCACCTTTGCAAAAAGATACAGTATTGCTTCAGGAAGCAATACTTTAAAAGTATAATCATTAGACTAAATAAAAAATGTAACCTTTTTTATATATAATTATATAACACTGATTTTTTTAATCTATGTGTATGAATGTGTCAAATATATATGTGTATGTTGATAAGGGGAGGGGGTATAAAAACAAAAACTAAAGAGGCTAAATTCAAAAATATAATTTAAATGAAAAAAAAAATTTAAGTTAAAAAAAAATTTCTGGAGAGAATTGTTTTTGCCATCTCTTGATCCTACCAGTATATATATGAAAACATAGGCTATTCTAGATCATTTTTAACAGCACTGACCTTATTTGGGTGGCGCAGAAATTCAAAATTGAGAACTTTTTTATGGCAAATTGGCTTTTTTGCCAAAAAAAACCACCTACATTCAGCAATATTTTCACTAAATTTTGCCAGGACAGAGGGTTACACTGCATAAATTTTTTTCCTAGAATAGCCTCTAGTATATTTAAATTATTTATATATTTATTTACTTAATAATAACTTTATATTTCATACCGTATGATTATTAAATGACTTTGAAAGAGCACAAAAAAAATAATTTTTTTTATCTTCCGGTAAAAGATACATTAGGTCTTCGTCTTTAAGGTTTCCTATAAAATACAAATCAAAAATAGTCTTATGACTCTTTTATAATCTATTAATTTTTATCTTAATATAAAGTGTTATTGTAATAAATTTTAAATAATATATATAAATTTTAATCAATTTTTACTTTTTGCTTTTCCACTAGCTTTATATATATTGTGTCTGTAACTATAGAGCTGCAAAACAAAAATAATAAATAATAAATTTATTACCACACTCTCCAAAACACAACACAAAAATACTTGATTAGTAAAATCTAAATTTGAAAATTTATTTACACAATAATATTTATAAAGTACGCATACTTGACCAGAAGAAATAGACATCAACAATGATGAAGATATAACTTCTTCTATTGATTTTTGTGTAAAATTTTGGAAAGCTTAATGAAATAAATAAAAATCAGGAATTTATTGAGCTTATTTTATTTATTTTAAAGAGCTGCATACAGGTTATAATTTAGTATATTATGTTAAAAATGTATATTATGTTATATAGCATGTTATATTAAAAATTTTATTATAAGTTGTAAAATAAATAAAGACCTCACAACTCACAAGAAATGTGTCAGTTGAGTAAAAACAAACCTTTTTCAATTAATATAACGCCCTCATTGTAGGAAATACCACACGATGAATCTATACATAATGAATAAGTTTTTAAGTATTTTAGTAACTTTTTTAAGCAATAAATAAACATAAAAAACTAGAATAAATTAAAACAATGAAAAAAAACCTGCGCAAGCCTTGCAAATTTTGTAAGCATCGTTTTCCCACAATTGACTTTTACAACAATTATCTATTGGTCTTTTACATAGCACACACAGTATCAAAACATTTTCTTCCATTGTTTTAATATTTAAAACCTTTTGAAAATAAATACTTATTAGAAAGAATCATATTTACTTTACAATGCATAAAATTTATGCAAAACTTGCATGTTTATGATATACAAACAAATTTGCTATCTTTATAATACCCTATAAGAATAAGTAGCAAATTAATGATTAAAAAGGATCACATTAACTCTCAATGGATAGTAAGACACTTATAATAATGTAAAAAACTATAATAACAGTTATTATTATTAAATAACTGATTATATAACATTATATGTAATAAATTTTAAAAATATGATCACTAACATTCAACTAAAGATTAAATTGATGAAAAAGATGACTTAACATCTAAAATTTAAATTTTGTAACTTCATGCTGAAACGCAAGTGAAAACTTACAATTAAATGAAAAAATCATGACTCTTATTTTATATCTTAATTTATATTGTTAAAAGTATATTTCATATTACAAGTAAAATGTGAAATAAAATATTAGCAATATATTTCATATTACTAGTACAACATATTAGTAATATATAATAATATTACACATTTCTTTAAGAATTTAATGTGCTTTCTCGCACTCACAACAAAACTATCATTATTTTCTAAAGCTATTGCAAACTCATTTAAAGTCATGTTACATACTGCTCCTGGTTGTGAAGCAATCCAACTTTTTTCAACTTTGGATTGTCATTTTGATGGTGATAAGACTTTTTGTTATTCATTTAGACCAATATTAATGTGTGCTGATTTAGCTTCTGTTTCTTCATTTAACTTTATTCATCAACTCTAAAACTTTTTTTAAACATGGTTCAACTGAAGAACAAGTCTGTAAAAAATAAATTAAAAAAAAACTTTTTGCTTCAATACTGACAATATTAACAGTAGATCCTTCTTTCGAATGATTAAAAACTTATACAAAAAACTTTTAAACAATTAAACATAATTACAATTATTTCTATAAAAACATACACGATAAAGCAATATCGATCACCGCACTACAAGCGAAACTCTACCATATTTAAATTTGCTCGTTTACACATTTGTTTGAGTTTTAAGGTAAGTGCCCTTATGCTACCTTTTAATGTAGTACCAGGGCTATTTTTGCCCTTACGCTACCGATTTGCGGTAACATAAGGGCTAAAAAGTAACATAAGGGCTTCAGCGTAACATAAGGGCACTTTGAGTAACATAAGGGCTCAAAAGTAACGCCAAGGGCACGCGTTTTGTAACATAAGGGCTCGTAGAGATTACTACTTCTACTACTACTACTACTACTACTACTACTACTACTACTACTACTACTACTACTACTACTACTACTACTTCTACTACTACTACTACTACTACTACTACTACTACTACTACTACTACTACTTCTACTACTACTACTACAACTACTACTACTACTACTACTATTACTACTATTACTACTACTACTACTACTACTACTACTACTACTACTACTTCTACTACTACTACTACTACTACTACTACTACTACTACTACTACTACTACTACTACTACGTCCAAAACGTTCATAAGACTTTTAGAAGACGTCTTTTTTACGTCCGTGCCCACTGGGTAACATACTCATACACTTAAAGCTAAAACTTTTGAGTAAATTACATTTTTTCCTCATTTTTTTGCTTATTTCAAAGTTTTGTTTTCAAAATATAATATGTTATTAAGTTTTCAAAAATCGAATTTAACGGTCTGCATTCAAAAATATCCTTCGCTAAAAACAACTATCTTAAACCTGAATTAGAAAGCAACTTATTGCTAAAACCAATATATATATATATATATATATATATATATATATATATATATATATATATATATATATATATATATATATATATATATATATATATATATATATATATATTCTATGAGTACTTTTAAGTAGATCAACGTTCTGTGATATTTTGTTGCTAAGGCATCAAATTGATAATTATTAATTTAGAGTTTTTTTTTTTTTTTTTTTTTTATGTTGATTTTTTAGGTGCCCTAAGAAGTCCTTACCGTCTTATCACAGAGCACCGCGGAAGAGCATTTAATAGGAAGTTCACGCCTCCTTCCCAACCGATGTCACAAAACTTGCCCAGAGGCGGGGTTTGAACCACGGGTCTTACGTTTCTGAGGCAAGTGTGCTACCACTGCGCCACGGCTGCTTAAATTCAGAGATAAGAAAATGCATTATGTTTTTTCTCCATTGTAATACTGAAATAAATTATGTTTTTTCTCCAATGTAATACTGAAATAACATGCAGTGAAAAATTTTTCACTGCATGTTATTTCAGTATTACATTGGAGATCACATATTACAAAAAAAAATCTTCAAGCAATTAATTTTTTCCTGCACTATAATGCAATTAATTTTTGCTGCACTCTATCTAATGGTTGACACCTGTTGACATTCGCTGTCTTATATTTATTTGAGCTATATGAAGTTTAAATAAAGTTTCCATTGATTGTTTATTCCTATAGGTCGCCATTCTGATTTTATGCATGTTGCTATTTGGCTGTTATAGTACTTAATTTTGCATAGCAATAACCTTTTTTCACTACTTAACGGTTTTTAATTTGCGCTATGTAAACTATATTGGGTGTGTTTTTAAATAAGATTAACCATCTTCATGCAAATAGTATTATTTTAATGATTTGAGTACTTCAATATACATAGCAAGAACATATTTTTAGTATGTGCTCAATAGAGATTAGAAGAATTACAGTTACAAATATAACGCTAATATAACGGTCACATAACGAGGAATATAACTTAAGCTTTAATATTCACCAAAGTTATTTGTATATTTATTTATACTGCCTTGCTAATCAAGAACAACCTAAGTTCTGAAAAAGAGGTTTTGAGATATTTATTAAAAACTGTTTAACCCTTCGTTCCAAAGTAACGCCTTTCGGCGTTCTCGCTAGTTCCAACATACGCTAGATCCGAAGTATGTTTTTAAACATACTTATTCATTTTAAGGGATCGTCCATAAATTACACAAAACAAATATATGTAAAATACAGAAGTAGAAGATCTTATGCTCTTTTACGCGGCGATTTCATTAAATTTAATACGCTAATTTAACTTTTTTATTTAAATTAAGACTCTGCGAGAAAAAACTTTTTTTTTTGTTATGTTAATTGTGAAAGTCTGCGTTACGTAATTTAAAAACAATCCTTAATCTAAAACCAATCATATATATTTATATTTAGTCAGAGTTGTTAGCGCTTGGTCTTGTTGGCCTTGGCCTTGAAAATTTTGGCCTTGGCTTTACAGTTTTGTTAATAATTGGCCTCAACGCAAGGCAAAAAGTAAGTTTTGGTCTTGAAAATGTTTGCGTAGGCCTTGAAACTCTTAATCGTGGCCTTGACCTTAAAACTCGTGGCCTTGGCCTTGTAACTTTTGGCCTTGGTCTTGGCATTGTAACGTGTGGTCTTGGCCTTGGCCTTGCTTCTATTGGCCTTGTTAACAACTCTGTATTTAGTTAAATGTATGAAGGATCGGGGGAAAAACGATGAAAGTCAATTTTTTCCAAAAATGATTTAAGGACATCGTTTTTGAATAAATTTTTATAATGTTTATAGAAAATAATATCTGAAACGTAATTAGTATATGGAACATAACTCTATTCAACCATTTTTGTGTCAACTTATATAAGAGGAAAACTAACTATTGGCCTTGTTAACAACTCTGTATTTAGTTAAATGTATGAAGGGTCGGGGGAAAAACGATGAAAGTCAATTTTTTCCAAAAATGAGTTAAAGACACCATTTTTGTATAAATTTGTATAATGTTTATACAAAATTAATATCTGTATTTAGTTAATTAATATCTGTATTTAAATATATAAAGGGTAGGGGAAAATCTATAAAAGTCAATTTTTCCCAAAAATCAGTTAAGGACACCATTTTTTTCGCTTGTAAGATACAGTATTCAAATACGACATGATTTATAGGAAACAACGATGAGAGTCCAATTAAACATAATCAGAAATATATATTTGAGTTACTATCGTGACTTTTTATGAGACTGTAAACTAAGTTTTGCGTTTTACAGAAAATTAGTAAATCGTGACTCTCATCGTCCCCCCCCCCCCCCCGAACATTCATATATTATTGTCTAAAACCATGGCGCTCTATACTGAAGGCCTATTCATCGCGCAACCGTAAGCCGTGACTGGGGGCCTATTATTTTTACGGATTATCAGCAACTCAGCTATAAAATTATATTTTGGAGTCAAAATAAGACTGTTAATGAGTTTAATTATTTTATTTAGAAATATTTATATTAAAATGTAATAAAAAGTTAAAATTTAAAATTAAAAAAATTAAAATAAAGAAAATATTTGCATATATTTTAACAACAACATATACAAATCATTATTTTCTAATTAAATTTATGATAATTTTAAAACTTTTAATGCAGGTTCTTTATTAAATCTTGGTATGGTTTGTCCACAAAAATTATTTTAAAAAATATTTACAAGTATGTTGCAAAGTTTTTGATTAATTTCAAAATAGTAAAATTCAGAAACCAGCAGAAAAATGTCACTTTAAGGATTTCCGACAAACTTTATCTTTTATTAAATGGAATAAGGCAAAGCAAAAAAAAAACCCATTGGCAAACATTGTCTGGTGGAATTTTTAGACCTCCACGATCTATAGACTTGAGGTACTCACCAAACTTTTCATAATAAAATAGTGTTTGGTTGAACAAATTCATTTCTACATGCATAATGTTTTGTTGAACATATTCATTTCTACATACGTAACCAGCAATATAAATCAAAGACATTTTGGTAGTATATTTGGTAGAAATTGATAACTCTAGTTTTTCTAAATTGTCAAATATTTTACAACCTGCTTCACATAAAACATATGTACAAGAAGCACACTCATGACCTGAACTAAAATTAAAAGAATCTATGTCAATATTTAAGGATAATAACAGTAATGTGTGATTTATATGCAATTTTTCTATAATTTTTTGAACATTTATAAAGTAGGCACCCCCAGAGCCTTGTCTCAAAATCCCAAATTCTTTTTCTAAGTGGTCACTAGTAAATATACCAAGAAGAACGTAATCATGACTTGTTGCTAATAAATATTTACATAGATCGACAATACCATAGCAAGTAAGGTGAATTGATTTTGCAGTACCATTAGATAACTGCTTTACTCTTTTGCCATTTTTACAACGCATTTCGAGAGCCATATCACCAAACTGAAGTAAAGTATTAAGATGGCAATCATCAGAACTACAAATAGGTGTTTCTAGTGGATCATTGTGTCTTACATCAGCTCCACGACCTTTCACATTCAAAAATTTCCACCAGGTTATTACTTTATTTATAAATATTGCAGTATCCTTAGAAATTGAAATTATTTGAGAATAGGCCAGCAAAGCATGGTATGTCTTATCTGAAAAAACTTTAAGGCAAGAAGATACATTTTGCCGTTCAATGGGAGTTGTGAGCTATTGCAATTTCATTTAAGTCTGACAATTTGACTAATTTTTCTGATTCTAATTGATGTAAGCTTTTAAGGTGCTCCCATTTAGCTGTTCTTTGAATACCATTATCACTGTACACTATTTCCCCAGTTTTATCAGTAAGCCATAGATTCCTAATACTTTTCAAAAGATGAACAAAGTCAAACAGTAAATACATCTCATCTTCCGTTTTCCAAGGTTTTTCTGGAATAGTACAATATAATTTAAAAAATGCTTGGTTTACACGATTACCATCACAGATAACTTTTACATCGCCAGATAATGATTTTATAAGTTTTATGCTGGCGCTTATTTGTTCAAACAGAAAATTTGAACTTAAATTTGAAATTGGAATCATCTTACACAGAAATTTTGGACCACCTTTAAGACATACTATCATAATTCCCAACACAGTTTTAGCCAATAATGATGGATCATCTGAAGATTTATCAAACAATGTTCCACCATGGTAAAGCATTATTTTTTTTGACATATACTTCATCATGAATAATTTTAAAAACTTTTTGTTTTTTTTAAATGTTTTTGAACACTGAGTCTAAGAAACTAGCATCATCAATTTTGCAAACTTTTGATGTTATTCGTGTCAAAGTACTAACTGATGGCAATTAAAAATCGTTTGTTAGTTTATTGTATAAAGAACGAGATGTTGAAAATTATTCAAAACTACGTATATTAGTATCTGATTCATATAAATTTTTCCAATAAGCTTTGCAGACATAACTAATATTTGTAGCTGAATAATGTTTTTCTTATAATCTATTTCCACGACATTTAAAAAATGTATTATTTTCTCAAACTTTGACCAAGTATCAACAATATTTATACGATTTTTACACAAACTTTTTATAAAACATTATATTCCACAATTAAATGTTTCAAAATGTAAATTCTCAAGATAAAAATTTTAACAAGATATAAAGGAAAACCATCATAAAATGTTATAGATTGAACATTTACCAATTTTTCAATCATAAATGTTATTACTGAAACTGAATAAACCCTGAGATAATTTAATAAAACATTTTTAAAATCAATATATGTTGCTGTATCAGCCAATAAAAAAGTGCTAAGTTCATCAGTTCTGACATTTCTAACAACGCTCAAAGATTTCTGTGTTGTGCGATGAGGTGGCAATGGAGTGGGTATTTAACTTGAAGGTATTCCCGGCCAAACAGATGGTGGCATTTTTGGTCTTTGTTTTCCTTGAACAGTAACTTTTTCCAAAACTGTTGGCCAATGTAATTGGAAAATAACAGTTTCATCTGAAACTAAAAGATTAGAATTCGGAATACTTTTTATCCAAATATTTCCATTTACACAACACTTTTTTGGCATCTATAAAGTATAATTATTTAAAAGAATATAAAAATATGCAAACCATAACATTTTCAAACATCTTTTTGTCAAAAATAAAAATCAAATATAATAGATCACTACCCATATCAGTCATAATAAATGTATATATATATATATATATATATATATATATATATATATATATATATATATATATATATATATATATATATATATATATATATGTGTATATATATATATATATATATATATATATATATATATATATATATATATATATATATATATATATATATATATATATATATATGTGTATATATATATATATATATATATATATATATATATATATATATATATATATGTATATATATCTTTACATATATATATATATATATATATATATATATATATATATATATATATATATATATATATATATATATATATATATATATATATATATATACATATACATATATATATATATATATATATATATATATATATATATATATATATATATATATATGTATATATATATATATATTTATATATATATGTATATATATATATATATATATATATATATATAAATATATATATATATATATATATATATATATATACTCATATAGTGTCGCTTTAAGAGCATTTTAATGTAAAAAAAGTCTCTTACGACTACAATTTTAATTACTCGTCTCTTAAGCTGTTTTTGATTGTCGTCGAAATGTCAAAGCAATTAATTTATGCGGAAGTACATTAAATTTAATTGTTTTTTAACAAATTTTTAAAAAACCGCAATTATAACGACTAGAAAGTTTTTTTTAATTAGTGGTGTTTTTGTTATTGATTTAATAAAAAACATTTTTTAAACATGCGTAAATGTTGCTACATCGACTATCTTATAGCTTGACTCGCAACTGAGTGCTGCTACATCGACTGACAAATAGCCTGACTCGCAACGGAGTGCTGCTACATCGACTGACAAATAGCCTGACTCGCAACGGAGTGCTGCTACATCGACTGACAAATAGCCTGACTCGCAAGGGAATGCTGCTACATCGACTGACAAATAGCCTGACTCGCAAGGGAGTGCTGCTACAACGACTGACAAATAGCCTGACTCGCAAGAGAGTGCTGCTACATCGACTGAGGGTTTGGTTTGGCCAGGCAGTCTATCAATTAAAAAAAAAAATTTAATTTTTAAAACTTTTTCTGGTCTGGTTTATTAACGCGCTCTTTAAAACTACAGTTTATGGGAAATATTTTTTGATGCTACGCAAGAGACATGCAAGACTATATATATATATATATATATATATATATATATATATATATATATATATATATATATATATATATATATATATATATATATTCATAGATGAGTTTTTTCCGGGAATTCCCGGAATTCCGGAAATTCACATCAAGTTTCCGGGAAATTCCGGATGCTTTTTGCTATTGATTTGTAAAAAGTTATATAAAATTTTAAATACGACATGGTTTGCATTTAAGCAATTATGTTTTCTATAAATGAAATTTTCACGAGATCATTTTTCAAAAAAAAATTTTCTTTCTAATTCATTCAAATTAACTTTTTCGAATATTAGAAATTCTTTTTCTTAAGAAGTTAATTGATGTAAATTCCGTTTTAAACGTTTGCAAAAGATCTTGTCGTTAAAAATTACTATCAAGAAGAAAGAAAAGAAAATGCAAGTTAAGAGTTTATCTGACATTTCTGAGATATCAAAACAAGACATCTCTCTGTATAAAGATGAAAGTGACAAAACTTTAAAGAGGCTATCAAATAAAAGTAAGAAACTAATAGAAAAAATAAAATGTAAAATGCAGCAGAAAAAACTAACAAAACAAGGTGCAGAAAGAAAAGCTAGAATTGTTAAAAGTTTATTTTTCTGACGTAATGAAACATTACTTTATATTAATTTGTACGTTGAAATTCTTCCTATTTTTAAATCATTCATTTTAACTTTTGAACAAAAAGAACCGTTAGTCCATCGAATTTATGATGAGCAAATTGAACTAGTGAAAACAATTTTAACTTGTTTTATTAAGCCAAAGATGATAAAAAATATAACAGGAGAAAAGTTG